AGCTCTTTCAAGTTATACAAAAATCTCTAACATAACATAATTCTTAAAAACATAATTTGATTACACCATCTTTGAAAGGTGGTAGGAACATTAACAATTGATAACCTTAAATGAGTTATTTATAAAACAGCTCTCTTGGTTGTAGTTGTAGCGGATGTTTTGAGGCCAAGTTGGCTCGACTCTAATCTCATCTACTAGAGTGGCTAGAGGGAAAACTGACACCAATTATTACCAACATAAAACACCTTCCCCTTAATGGTTACAGCCTCTAAAATAGTTATTGGGGTTTACAGTTGTTCATGGTTTTTATCATGGTATGGTATAGTGTTAAAAATTAATTCAATTACAGTATGATAATTTTTTTGTAAAATAATATGAATCAGCTTAGGTAAATGTATAAACACTTTTAAAAAAGTTGTAGCTTTAAAAAATTAATGTTTTTGATCCCTACGCTTTCTGTATACGTTTAAGAACCACACGTTCATTAATAGGAAGCGGTCTAAACCATTCAATTACGGTTGTTATGCCGGGTATTGAATATATCCCTGTCGTACAGAAGACTAGGACGCTCCACTAGAATAGCAGCAAGCAACACACCTAATAACCAATTGTTATTTCAAAGTCGTTGTAACCTACCAACAGATCTAGTAAGCAGTTCGATAAAAATGAATTATTATTAAGTGGTTCACCAGAACAGCAAAAACAGTTAACTTTTTATTTCGTTGAGTTGTACACTCGCCATTCAATCACTATGAAAACCTTGATTTACCTTATTTATCGCCGAGCTTTTAGCAAACGGTTCAAGTAGTTATATGTTTTCACGACTAAAATAGTATATAATTTACAAAAGCTAGTCAACGTTTATGATCAAATGTTGTAATACAAATTTAATGCATTTAGATATGAAAGAAAACCTATTAATGTTTTGTATTATTATTTGTAGAGGGAGTTTTATAATGAGTTTATAGTCAACAGTTTAATTTCATAACATAGATAAAATGAAAAAACACAATTTTTAGACCCTTTAGTTGTTATTAACAATGTTAAACTTATTTTAGAATTATTTTCTAAAAAATCAGGAAGCTGTACTTCTAAACGCTAGGCGCTGCGCCGTGGGAAAATCATAATGCAACGGTGTATACGTTAGTGTTGTCAAGCGGTATGCTGCTGTGGCAAAGGAGAAGGAAAATAGCTAAACCTCTTGATGTAATCACCGTGTGATCCTTATAGAGATAGTACTATCGAGATATCAGGGGCAGATTAACGATGAATTTTTTTATACGAAATTTATAATTTCGAATAAATGATATTGCTTTAAATTAACAGGATTTTTTTAACCAACAGATTTACATTATTATTAGAATATTTAATCTTTATATTTAATGAGAATGGGATAGCTTAGCAATAAAAATAGAAATAGAATTTCCTTATTCTGGGAGACACTGTGCCAATTCACCATCTAGTTCCCCATCTCTCGTTTTGATCACAATGCTATGTTTTTGATATTATTTCAAAATCTAAAGCTAAAACTAGTGGCTGTGTGAGAATAGTAAAGGCAAATTAAACAACCCCTCCTAAAATATAACTTGTTCAAGTGTTCAGGCACGCAACTGTGTTTCACTCTGTCAGATACAGAATGCAATATAAACATAAAGCAAATGATTCTAATTATTAAATTACTTGTCCCATAGTAAAGTGTGAGATTTTTTTACAAATTGTTTTTAAGTTCGGAATAAAAAACCTTTAAATAGATTAAATTATCGTTGTGTCACGCTTGGGCTTGGAACCAAGATGCTTTGATTTTTGTTACAGACCCAGTCAAAACCTATAGAAAACAAACAAAATTTAATGGATTTGGATTAGTTTGCTTGGAATTAACTTCATTCTGGGGTCAACTTCATTTTCATTAAGTGCCATCATAGCTTAAAATGCTTGATTCAATGTTTCAAATTTTGAAAAATCTGGGGGAGACCCCCATACACCCTCCTCTATGCCTGGGGTGTTTCCATAACCCCAAAACCCCCTGGTAGGCCCCCCAAACTTCGTCTCTGGATCAGTTCCTGGTGTAATTGTAGGTAGTAGTCTCAAATAATACGATTACACACCAATAACGTAAAAACCACTAACAGTTATCCCACAAATGTGTTCAAATAAACATTTAAACGTGAAGGTAATGAACAATACCATGTCAGCGATGGTAGTGACCGCTCTGTCAAACTATCACGCTCCTAGTATAATTCAGTAGGTCTACAAAATAAATATCTAATACTAGTAATTTTTACAGATTTATCTTTTAGTGTGAAAGCATCAATAAGGTTTATGTAGATAACATTTTTTGAATTGGGTATTTAGTTTTACTTTTCCCTTTTACACTGATCACGTTTTAAACCCTAACAGACAATCCGCTAGAACGCGAATTTAAGCATATAACACTGTATAAACAAAGTAAACTCAACAATGCTGCAGACTTGAGATCAAATCCTGTGTTATTCGTAGACTTGGCTGCAAGGTAATAAATCGCAACAACTTGGAGCTTCGAGCGTTAAATACATGTTTAATTGCTTCCCAAGTAATTTGTGCACTTGAGTCGCAATATTAAACTTGCCTTCTCTCGCAAGCTTCTTATACGCCATACTCGCGTTCAATGCTATTGGAAACATAAATAAACACTTCAAGTTATGCTATTTCTCAAGTGCGCAACAATAGCTTCTAGATGCTCAAAACTTGCCAAGTGTTCTAAATACGGTGAGGGTTCAGTGCGATATGCGATAGAATGGTAAAGGAATATAGTTCACGACTTAAGTAATCTAAAATAAACACTATCTATCAGAAAACTGACACATACTTTCTCCCATTAGCTTGTTAACAATCCCTTGTGGTGGATAAGGTGTGAGTAACTGTGGTATTTTATGGATAAAACCACAAAAGTAGTAATAACTTTTAAACCGTAATTTACAACGTTAGGAGTTATGCCATTTTTTTAGGGTTAAAGATACTAAATTGTAATCAAGAAAGTTTTTTTATTGATTTTTATCATTTATCTTACAATGGCAATTCTAAAATTTTACTGGTGGTTTACTAATTTTCATGTGTCTCTTATTAACTTATTTCACATACAAGCAAATTAAATTATACTTTACCTTTTTAATATGCCAAGGACAGTTAGGTGTGGTCTTATTGTACTGGACCACAGGCCATTTTGTACTTTATATCCAATTTCCCAGCTCGCTATTTATTACATAGAGTTTAGAGTTTATACATACCCGCTATACCTGGCACAAAACCGAATGATCAGCATTGACGTGATTAAAGGGATTTTAGACCTTTTGTTTCCTCAGCACATTGGGCCAATATTCCACCAATCAGCACGCTGGACATCAGATGAGGAGGCAGGGATTCAGTGGACATACAGCGTGTTCGCCACTACTGTATTATATTACATCTCTCATACTGTGAATGAAGGTTCAACTCAGAGTTGCAATACCGTAAGATTTGCCAAGGTTGTCATGATACATTGGTTTAATCCTTACTAAGTTTAAAGTTTGACAATGGGGGACTAACAGTTGTCATACTCGGTAATTACGTACCTAGCTGGACGTTCATAAACTATAAAATTAAATAAGTTTATTTCAGGTCAGTACTATTATTGTAGTATGTTTTCTGTGGTCATAGTCATGAGCATCGAGTTAGGTTATATCTCAGAGTTTTTGTTTTATTACTCTGAGGTTATATACATCGATGGTCATGACAAAGGCAGATGAATGACAAGTGCTGCTGACTCACGGTGCGGAGTTTCTGAGAACTACTACTCTAGTGTCAAAGATGTAACTTTAATTTTAACATGCTGGGTAGGTGTTACTACAGTTAATGTTGCTGTTAGATTGTATGTTATTATGAACCTTTATTATTTTACCTTTTCCATTTAAAAAACTTTAAAAATTCCTTTTGGAATAGACCTAGACGAAATAAAATAATCTGTCGCCTATTGGATTGAAAATTTATTTCAAAAAATATTGAAATAATAAATTCCCCCAATTATAGAAACTATATCAGATAAAATTATTTGCTGCTGTGTTGTGAAGGTGTCACAATGATTCTTTAAAGAATTCATGTATGTAGTATAGAATCGTATTTTAATATGTAAAAAGTCACCCAGTTTAAGACCTTATATTATTATTTAGTAGACCATAACTTGTTTATTGATGTATCTTCAGATTATCTACAATATTAAATAAAAATGTCACTAGGCCTATGTACAATGTTTGTTAATCACTAAGTTGTTTATTTATATCACTACTCACTAAACGGTTACACCACACACGCTTCACAATCATTGTACACACTGACAGTATTACCAATTGTAGATACACCTCATGATCATTGACCTCTGAACAACAACATAAAGAACAATAGGAAAAAAAAACCTATAACCTTATTGAAATCATATTGTTTGATATTAATGAATTAAAGCTTGTTAATAGTTATTATTTATCTCATTGTACAACTTTCAAAATAGCCTAGCAAAACACAATCACTATTCACATTATAATATACGGTAGTTTTATAGTATTACCGGTTAAGAATATTTCAAGCTCAGAGTACGCTTACCAGCTAAAATGTCTTTAACTAACCTTACAAAACTGTTTCAATCATCGTCTTTGTTTATCCGTTTATCGTGTTCAGAAAGCCTAACCCGACCACTTATCTGTGTATATTGTCTAATCTGTTACCAAATATTTATATTTATCTATCTTATCTCCTAGCAAAGTCCTTGACTAGGCGTTGTCGATGAGACAAAGACTTCTTGTTCGTGGTGACGTTTGTCACTTGGAGGAAGACGGTGTCAGTTGTCAGTAGCCAGCTGACCAGACTGTACACTGCAACACTGGACGGTCGGTGACTGTACCTAGGTAGCGCGCGACGCTCATTGTTGCCGCCCCCTCCCCCACCAACTGTTGAGCGCGTCGCGTCGCTCTCGCTCAGTCTTGAGCCGACCTCGGTAAAGCGATGAACTTGTCGTGATCGTGGGCCATCTTGTCTTGACGTTAGTTTTTAGTTGGTCGTGGTTCAAAGTGCAGTGATGATGTGGTGTGCTGTTGATTTACTGTTTGTTTCACTGACTTACGCCCTTGTGTGTGTATCTGTGAGTGGTTCTGAACATTTGGAGAGGACTAGCGACATCGTAGCCGTCGACAACTCCTTGGATAACCGAGATAAAGGTGACAAAGATCACAACTTTACACTTAGTTATGTAAACGGTTGCATTATTTTGCTGTAATGACTCTAGGCCACGTACATCATCTATGTTTGTGACAAAGGAAAGTCAATCGGTCAATCCCAATCGTGACCTCTTGACACATTTATATAATTTTCACTTGTCAATGTCATAGAACTTTGGTATCATGACCGGGGTTTCCAGACACAGTCAACGTTATGTATGTTTATCACAATCCTCGCAATATTTTCAGTTTATGGTCTAATATAAAACTAGTAATAATTGGCTGTGTACGCCGATTTCGTGCAACATCGCTTCTTCTTGCTTGTAGTGCAATATTCTATTTTTATTATCTCAGATTTAGGTGTAACTTTGTTTACCAACACTGGTACACAATTTTAAAACCAAATACATTAGTAAAATGCAAAAAACCAATATGTTCAACAAATAAATAAAATAGAACTAATAAAATATGTATTAGGACCAGGTCGGTTCCTGGTTGTGGTCCATAATTTGTACTTTATAGCATTCTTTTACATGAACAAAAAACTCTACATGAACGTATTGGTATGTTTCCTGAGGTATATTTGAAACAAGCATTATATTCAAACATTCAATGTCGCAAATAAAGGTATTTTAGCCGGCAGCGCTCTAAACATGGATAGAGTGTACGTGTGGAATCGCTATACTGTATTTATTGAGCTATTTAAGATTTGTATTACATTTTTCCGCGTTGTTTACCCTATCATATTTCCCACTAAAAATAAAAGTGAAACTTTTACTTAGAAAACTAAAAACTCTCTGGGTTATTTTATGATGATTAAAGTCTGTTGTGGCCAATAGGGGTACAATTTTACAATTTTTACCATGTTATTCTTATGGGAAATAAATAAACTTGTAGTTTGCTTTTTTAGTAAAGTCTAATACATTCTCATCAAATTTGGCAAATATTTTTAAATTAGGACTAAGTTACTTACTCAGCTTTTATCATTTTAGCGAATTTCCCTAGGAAGTAGATACAATTACCGTAGGTCTCATAGGCGGAACCGAATTTCCTTTTCATTTATGTCCCCAGAGCAGAGACCAAAAACACCATCCGTTCAAAATATTATTATAATATGTTGGTAATATTGTAATGTTATATATATAGGCCTACTAATGTTTAATGATTTAATTCAATTATTATGGGGGGGGGGGATTTATGGGGTAAAATTTTTTTTCTCATTTTTGACTCTGAAATCACAAAATGTCCAGATTTCTCTCTGAACCATAAAAAAACAGATACTTTAGTAACCTATATCAAAGGGTTTTTTGTACGGTTATTTGTTACAGATAAAATTCAAACAGTTGTTTAAATTTTAATTCCCACGCTATTCTTAAGGAGAATATTGTAAAATGTTGTAGATTGCTTGTTTGTATTTTGATCAAACTTGAGAAATTTATTAATTTTATACTAAGATAGGCCTATGTATTATTAATATTTTACTAAAAACACTTTGTTCCCTGTAGCAGCAAATCTAGGTACTCGTTAAACCATACTCCTTTTATCTATGGTTAAACCTAATGTTATTTAAATAGATTCTAAAATTAATTCAGGAAAATGGAAATTCATTTAGTCTGCAGGTTTGCTGCGGCAGGGGTATTGGAAAATTGCAACTGTAGCAGTGAACCTAAGTAAATAATAAGTTATGTAAATGATAAGTTTTTATCATTAAAATTATTGTTCTAGCCTATTTATAGCCTAGGCCTATTGAAATAAATAACATAATAAATAACAAGGGAGATTTGAGTGTAAATCCAACCTGGTGGATAAAAGTTGGCAGATTTGCTGGTATTTGGTCTTCAGAACCTGGTAATAAAAGTACCGGTACATTTAAAATAGTTAACCATTGTACCGTTAACGATTTTAGTTTAGAAATTGATTTATTAAATATTTGATAAAAAATAGAATTTGTTAAATATTTGCTACGATAGTTCAGTATATCACGAAGCCAATATAGGTAACTTAGATATCACGAAAAAAGTTACCATTTATATTTAATGGTGTTATGAATTAATATACATCAATAAAGGTACCACTATAAGGTTACACATCAAATATATAACATATAACCTAACATAATAATATAACATATAATATAATATAACATATAACATACTGTATAATATAATATAGGTAATAATATATTATATAACAATATGATATAATATTAATATTAATTATTAATATTAATAATTATAATAATAATATAATTATAATATTAATAATTATTATTAATATTAATATTAATAATAATATTTATATAATATATTATATAATATAATTTAATATAATATATATTATAATATAACACATAACATATTCAATATCGGAAGTGTTTTCAACATCCAGAATCAACAAAACCCCCTATTTTTATTTTACCCGTTTATACTAGGCATAGGCATAGATATTTAACTTCACTATTGTACAACGGTACAATAGAATTTGCTTCATGGACGTTCTTTTTATTTTGGGATTAAGTAATTCAGCAAATTGTTTTATATTAGCCGTGTAACTAGAGAAGACAGCATATCCAGAATGTATGCTATGGTACATAACGTAAGATTAACCTAGCCTATTATGAGTTTGTCTGCGGTTATATTTGCATTGGGAGACGTCAACGGAAACTGTTTGCAAGTCTACTGCTAGTCCTGACAAAAATCCTTGCTACTCCGTCTTGCTATCAGAAAGATGAACTGACTCAATATTAAATACCAAAAATAGGAACAACCCCAGCCCCTACTTTTTATTTGGAATTTGTTGGTGTTTATAATTATTAGAAATTTATTTACAAAGAAGAAACTATGAATAAGATGAACACAAATTATTTCCTACGACGTGGTAAAAATCAATCTAAATTTTATGATATCACGTGGTATGGTAAGGCATGTTCATTTGTTGCCTCCTATGCAATGCTTGAAGTAATATAAATATATTACATAAGATAGGAAGTAATATACATGGTGTTTATTTATTCTATGGTAATATGTTGAATAGCCTACATTTCACTCTAGCCTTTGTATTTTAAAGCCAACATCGGTAATAATGATAGCTTTGTACTCTTACCAAAAGAAAACTGATATTTAATAAAAAAAAAACATGTTAGTCTTATATAATCTAAACCCCGTTTGTCACCTAGTCAATGTAAGTAGTCTACTTGCCAATCAATGGCCAGTGGCATTAGGAGAGACTTGGTCTATTTTTCAACTTCGATTAGCACTTTTCTCTAACAAACATTTGCACAGTATATCTAACGTAATTCGGGTCAATATACAGATGGTTTATTTAACTTCTGTGGCCAGAAGTCTTGTTTGTTATGATTGAAGAATTCACAATAATTAGCCATGCCAGGTTTTGTACACAAAACTTCAAAAGAGTCATAAAATAAAGAGTAAAAATGTTAAGTAAAGAGTCATACAGTATTTTCTTTCACAGTAGATTTGCGCATGTACTTTCCTGTTGATGCACACTAGCCTACAGTAGCCTAATATAATTTCCGTGGGCAATGAAATTTTCTACCAAACAAAACAGAAAATTTTCAACTCAATTTTTTTATAGTATAAACTCTGGATCACTGATTTTTACAATAAAAGGTTTTAAATTAGAGTACCTGTATCCGTCAAGTGATCCTGGTTTGTAATTGGTTGACTACAGCTGTTTCATGTTAATATTAACAAATCTTCAGGTCAAATTGTTGCATTGATTTATTCCATAGAATGGTCGTCATAAGGTTTAAAGTTCACAAAAAAATAACACATACACTTACACGAAACATTTAATTAACACTGATTGGCCAAAACACAAAACGAAAAAGCGTGTAAAAGTATTGTTTTTAGAGTTTGTCAAATTGAAGGATAATGAATTCAAATTGGAATCATTCGTAGGCCTATATTATCTGGTTCGTATATTAATCTGGTTTTCTACTGTTCGCCACATTCCTTCTCATAATGAACACCATGAGTTTATGAGTCGAGTTTGATTTTTTTTTGTGGGCAAAAAAGTGTTAAAAAATGCAGGATATATTATTAGTTCAACTAGTTGTTGACTGCAAGTACGTTCAGTCAATTTTATAACCACCAGGGTCCAAGAATAATGAATCGTAATAAAGTCTAAACACAGCAATTACTTTTGACATGTTTGTCACCTTGAAACCAAGTAAACATAAACTGGAATCCCCTGCACACAATCTCATCGCAATCCAACGTTACGATTCAAGCAACTACCCTATAAATAAATAAATAAATGACTATTGTATTTTAAATTAAAATAGCATTAGCCCTAAGTTTATTTCAGTAATCTACCCTGAACAATTCGAAAGCAGCCGTGTAAGTTGTTCTAAGTGACACATTTAACACCGACTCCTTCCTCAAGCAATTAACCTTTTAATCTTTAAAGGTTTGTTAAGTCACTTTAATTGCTTTGTGACATCATTGTTTTCACCGTGCGATCCATACAATTGAACGCTGTTGATAGAAAGAGAACAATAGCGTGGCGCGCCACCGACAAAGCCCGATAAACATGTTATTGTGCGATGGCGCACCACCATCCACCATCGTCGCTCGCCGAGCTCTATTTATTTACAAGTGCAGCACAGGGTTTTTATTTATTCATTGCATTACCTATTCTCTATGCCGATTTATTCATACTGCCATTGAGAATTCGCGGTAAATTTAGTTTCATTGTTTAACTATAAAGTCAGGAGATAAACGCTTTGTCACACCTACACGTATGTACTTTCCTTAAGCTCGGGATTTATTTCATAATATCAAAACTTGAATAAATTAGCCTACTGTCTAGTGGTTAGATGGCAGTTTCAATTTTAAAGATTCATTTATTAATGTAAAGATTAAACAAATTCGTGAATATGTATATAGGTATCTTCACCGATAACTGAACTAATGTGTAGTTTACGACCAAAAATAAAGTGTTCTCTGTAAACACTGTTTTAGGTAACCCATTTTTCG